AAAATATATCAGAGGTAGATTCTCTCTCTCTCTCTCTCTCTCTCAATCTGTGTCCAAAGATGGGTTGCATGTTGTACTTTTCATGATCTGCTTCCAGAAGAAAGATCGGCTTATCTTTGTTTTTCTTTTGAAGCCATTTTTTCTGCCGTTTCTGCTACAAGACCTCGGGCTGATGTCGCATACTGCATCCATGCTCTTGCAAGAAGGTTATCAAAGACACATAATTGGGCGGTATGGGCATTTTCTCATCAGACAAACATACAAGACTTCATACATAGCCAGGAAGCTTTTTTTGTTTGTTTGTTTTCCTGTATCTATAGTTGGAATAATCTTTATCTTGATTGTCATTCTTAGGGAACCATAGTGAGTGGAAGAAAGTTAAAAAATAGAAAAGAAGAGGAAGATACTCTAGAGACTAGACTTGATGTTCATGGCTTTCTTGTTTGCAAGGGAAGAACACATGTGACTTGAAACATAATGACTTGACACATACCAAATATATGAAATTATAACGAAAATTTAAGGCATAATCTAACTGTGCTTCCTTCTTCATAATCTATACTGTGTGTCTTGCCTGAAATTTTACTAACTGATGATTGGTTGGTGTTTAGGTTGCATTGAAAACTTTAGTTGTTATTCATCGTGCTTTGAGGGAAGTAGACCCTACTTTTCATGAAGAACTCATGAATTATGGTAGAAGTAGAAGCCATATGCTTAACTTGGCTCATTTCAAAGATGATTCCAGTCCAAATGGTACCTTTCCATTCCGCTGACTCCATCTTTATCATACTCTTCTTCTATTTAAACTGATTTTTTTTTCACTGCTCAGCATGGGATTATTCCAACTGGATTCGTACGTATGCCTTGTTCTTGGAGGAGAGACTGGAATGCTTCCGTGTGTTGAAATATGACGTTGAGATGGATCGCCCAGTAAGAAGTTTATTTTCTCTATATCATCTTTCTTTGAGCTTCTATATCATTCAAATTGACAACTTTTGTTTTAGGGATGTTATGGCAAACACTTTTTACCTCAATGACATTCTGAAATTTCTGAACTGATTGGTTTATCAGAGTAGTTATTAACTACAGTAGCTTTTTTTTTTTCTTTTTTCCCTCTAAGGTTTCTTCTTACTTTTCTATTCTCACATTCAAGTGCTATTTCTAGATTTATCTATTTTATGCACTTATATATGTCTACAAACTTTGGCTAGTCTCATTCTTCTTAAAGTATTGTTTTGCAACTTCATAGCTTGACATTGTGGTGCAGAGGACCAAAGATCTGGATACTGTCGAATTGCTTGAGCATTTGCCTGCTTTGCAACAGCTTCTTTTTCGTGTACTTGGTTGCCAGGCAAGTCCTTTCAACACAAAAAAACCAATGGTTTCATGGTTTGCTGATATGTGGTTAAACATGAATATGTGTTCAAGCCCATGTTAATGTACCAGAAGAATGTTACCAATGATGGGTGCCACGATATGTTAATCAATATAACTGACTTCTTTTGAATATCCTTTAAGTTTCTATTAGTGATATCAATAAATATTTTTTGCAGCCGCAAGGGGCAGCAGTTCATAATTTTGTGGTTCAATTAGCACTTCAAATGGTAGGTGAAGCTTGCAATATGTCTATCTGAATGACTAGCCAATATATTTTCTTTTCTTCTGATTTTCTTCTATCATATCATTAAATTAGGTTGCTTCTGAAAGCATCAAGATTTATCAAGCTATAAGTGATGGAACGGTCAATTTGGTTGACAAGGTAGGATATGAACTTTGCTATTTGGAATAGAACACTAGAAGCTTTCCGTATAAGCTTAATCATATATGATAATCATTTCTGTCACAGTTCTTTGAGATGCAACGCCATGATGCTGTGAAAGCCCTGGATATATATCGGAGGGCAGGGCAGCAGGTAATTTTTCTGGGAATTTCTGTTCTAATTAGTGGAGAGTCATATTATGTATCAGCATTTACATTTCATCTGCATGTTTTCAGGCAGAGAGACTTTCAGAGTTTTACGAAGTATGTAAAAGTCTTGATATTGGGCGTGGAGACAAGTTTATCAAGATTGAGCAGGTTGACTATTTTACTGCAGTTCCTTTGACAGCATTGCATTCCTTGGATTATTTGTAACTTTCTCGAACTGATTTAATTTTGGGTTAATAATTCTTTCATAATGTAGCCACCTGCATCATTTTTACAAGCCATGGAAGAATATGTGAGAGAAGCTCCCCGGGTCTCAACAGTTCGCAAGGATCAGGTATGAAAGTGCTCTGTGCTTATCAAATCAACCATTAAAAAGCTGAATCCAAAGTCAGCTTTTTTAAGCAATTGCAGTACTTATAAAGGTTTCACGATGCAATCAGGTCAACAAGCACGTATAGGACATACATAAACCTTAGTCAACTCAGTGTATACAGTTTGCAGCAATTTCCCTCATGTTCAATCTTTAACCTGGCAGGTGGTTGACAATAAAATTAATGCCCCCAAGGAAGTCTTGGCTATAGAGTACAAAAACAACCAAGAGGCGGAGGCACGCCCACCTTCACCACCTCCACCTGAACCAGTGAAAGTGGAAGCACCTATAGCTGAACCTCCTGACCTGCTGGTAGTTCTCATAATCCTTCTTTTTCTGTTCTCCCTTGAATATTGGTATGCTGTAGTTTTGAAATCTTTTGGCTGGCTTTGTCTCTTTGAAGTTTCATTATTCATGCTTTCCTTTGTTGCTAGGGTTTGAATGATCCTGTTCCAGACACCAAAGATTTGGATGAGAAGAATGCTATGGCTTTAGCTATTGTTCCAGTTTGTAAGCTCTCTCTCTCTCTCTCTCTCTCAATGATTTATAGCTCATAAATTTCATCAGAGTGTTGAGGTTTCAATTCACTATGAATTCAGTTTGAACTGGTTTGTTTCCAAGAAACACACACAAAGCTTCTTTTCTTCTTTTTCTTCTTTTTCTTCTTTATTTTAACATAAAATCTCTAAATAAATTTTTTATATCTGAAAATGCAATTATGGTTCTTGCAGCGGATCAACCACCTTCTACAGCTCCAATTCACGCAAATGGAACTACAGGTTGGGAATTGGCACTTGTTACAGCACCAAGCTCAAATGAGAGTGCCACGGCTGCTAGTAAACTGGTATTCTTCTCTTTACCAATTTCCCATAAAATATCCTAATGTTTAACAATTAATTAGTCAGTATTAGTATATGGGCAAAAATATTGAAAAAGGTTCATTTACTCTCCTCTCTATGTGGCATACTTGATATGAATATGCAAGCACAAACTTTTGCTGTTCCACCAAAAGCAAAGCGATGCTACTTTTTGGACTTGACACATTCTTGTTGTTAAACTTTCAAGCAACACACTTCCTTTTTCTTTTTCTTATTTGGCCTAATGAATGAACACTGTTGACGCCTTTCAACTGTTGAGTGAAGGCGGGCGGGTTGGACTTGCTTACACTAGATAGCCTATACGATGATGCAATCAGAAGAAACCATCAGAATGTGAGCTACAACCCATGGGAGCCTGTTCCAGTGGCTGGTGCCATGATGCAACAACCAGTTCATGATCCCTTTTATGCATCCAACACAATGGCTGCACCGCCTTCTGTGCAGATGGCAGCAATGGCCAACCAGCAGCAGGCCTTCATGTTGCAGCAACAGCAGCAGATGATGATGATGGGTCCACAACAGCAGCAGTCTTTGAACCCTTTTGGAAATCCTCATGCAGCCACTACCCACCCCTATGGCCCAGGTGTGCCTGTCCAAGCATACAATCCATATACCGGCCTTTTATAGCTGGTTTGTCAAGCCATACATCTATATCGAGAAATACGGGGAAGAAAGGGACATGAAAGCATAGTCAGTTTTAGATATCGAGCATCAGAATCGGAAATTTGGAGAGACAGACGTGTACCATATGTTTTGTATGTGCAGTAGTTAGCTAGGATTAAGATTCTTTGTTAAATAAATAGTCAGAGGGGAGGACTTTGAGCTATTTGGTGATTTGCATTCATGTTGTGGGGAGACTACACACTAAAATTCTTTTGACCTGCTTTGTTGCTGTTGAGACTCGAGCAGGAAATCTTATTTCAACTCTTTTTCAGTTTCTTTCTGTTTTCCTCTCCCTCTCCTTCGGTCCTTAAGGATCTCTATAAAATTATAGAAATTATTTGTAATTTGTGATTGTTGATAACAGACAGTTATGTAACGAGGAGACATTAAATTTGATTTATGGTTCTTGGCTATTATTCTTTTTTATTTTCTTCGTTACCTTTACTTTCTCTTCGTTTATTCTTTAATACAGACTTATAAAATACAAGCACTACATGCATCATCGGGACATAACAAACAGCACAGATAATTCAATGAAAGATAGAAAAAAACAACACAGAAAATGGAACCACTTCATTTATTTATTTTTCGAAACGGCGCCGGTTTGGATTCCTTTTGGTTTTTGTTTATGGGCCACATCGCATGGGCGGTGGATATAAATAAGGAAAAAGAACCTTTGGACAAATTTGATTTGATTTTTGGCGGTTCGGTTCGTTTCGCGGACCGATAATCCGGGCGGCTATACTCTTAAAAATATTCTATTAAGCCATGCGGCTATACTGTTACACTATTCTATTTAAACAGTATCGCCGTGCGGCTGTACTTTCAAATTTTCTATTTCTAGAGTATAGCCGGCGGCTGTACTTTTAAATTATTCTATTTAAAGAGTAGATCCGCGCGGCTATACATCTATTTAAAGGTACGGTGTTCTATTTAAAAGGTATAGCCGCGCGGCTATACATCTATGTAAAGGTACGGTGTTCTATTTAAAAGTTATAGCCGCGCGGCTATAATATTTTCTATTTATAGTGTATATCAGCGCGGCTATGAGTTTAAAATTTCTATTTATATAGTATAGCCGCGGGCTATACACTTAAAATTTTTATTTACAGAATATGGTAAAGGAATAAATTATATATTTTAAAAATATAAATACATAAAAAAAGGCCAGAAAACCTGTCCCGACGAAATTTCGAAGGTCAGGTTCGAGTCGGTTGCGACGGTGGTTTAGGATTTCAATTGCGAGAGGATGACGAACCTACACTTTTCTGCAATTCAGTCCGATTGGATCTCCTCGATCGTCGTCGGTGGTTCACTTCTTCTCGAAGAAGTGGAACGCGTTGATGGCGATATCGCGGGGTTGTCGGAAGAATGGAGAGTCTGAGGCATAGATCAGCCTCGTCCTTGGATTCGGATTTTTCTTTCGAGGTTTAGGGTTCGATCGCATGCGGGTATACTTCCTTTTCTTTCTTCATGAACCTCTTGATTTACAAATCAGTTTTCATTTTTGTCCCAAGCATGATACAGATTGACGCCTGCTAATTAGTTTTTGTTCATTGGTTTTGTGGAGATGATTTGGGTATTCTTAGGAAATAACCATGGTTATGTTATGTTGAATTTCTGTGTCCATCACGTAAACTTTTGAACATTATTCAAGAAAAGTGTGTTTGTGCCTCACATAGATCAGTCACAAGTTTACATCGCAATTTTTGGAATTTGTCATAATGTTCGTTATGAAGGAAATGCATTTATTTGGCCCCTCACATATTCGAAGTATGAAAATAGTGATTTTCAAGAATACTTGTGCAGTGGTTAAGTGCAAAGCATTCTAATATAATTTTGTAAACAAATAAATCCTGTTTTTATGTTAAGTTAAGAGTTAGAAATGAATCATGCAGTCACTTGTGTGGCTGATAGGGCAAGTATGCCGCCCTACGAAGCACAATGTTTAGGTTATACTTTTCTGTTTTATGCTTTGGTTCTGATCATACTTACTCATTTAAACAAGAGAGGCTCTCCGTTTTTGAGTTCTCCAGCAATGGTTAAATATTTTATGCTCTGTTCTTGTTGGCAGATTGAAGATGAACGAATGACAGAACTAGGAAAACTTGCAAGGTGAAGTCATGAAAGATTTGTGCGAGGTACATGAACTCTTGTTTGAATTAATATGATCTAGCATGCTGGCTGTGCATCTGTAGGCTAGGACACACACCGAAGCATGTTATATATTATGCGTTTATGGGAAGAATTACATTTTCTGGACGTGGTGATTGTTAAAAATACATCTTTGTGGTTGATTGCAAATGAATCATGTAGTGCAGCCACCGGTGTGGCTGATGGGGTAAGTTATACTTTTCTGTTTTATGCATGTTCATCAAGTAGTTGGGTTCATCAGTGGTGCCACAGGCCACTAACAAACTAATATCTAATGGTTGCGAGCAGCATGCACATATAGTCAAATATTGGCAATGTCTAGGCAAGTCCTCAATATTAGTAACGTGAGAACTAAATTGAGTTGTCCTCCATATTTTGTCAGGGTATGTGTTGTTGGTGAAGCCGGAGATGATTACGCAATCTAATTGTCCAGTTCACGAAGTAGCTGCTGCTGCTGAGAATACGTCATTCTAGAGTGAGTCGGTGTTACGATGCTTTGCTAGGTTTTATTTGGTTTTTGGGTCACTACGACTAAGACATTACCTATTTGACCGTATTCACGAATTGACCCCACGGTCTTTTGTCTTATGTGAAAATATTGTCAATTTTGCCATCAACTTTGGGATATCGTTGTATGGTTCATGAAGTTATTTTCAGCCCGAAATAGAGGAAAGCTGAAGTAGCTTCTTCGTAACATGAAGTTCGGATTTGTTGTATGGCGAAAATGAAGTCGTTTTGTGAAAAAGAAAGAAGGATTTGTTGCCCTTATGGACTTGAAAAGGGCGGATACATTATCCTAAACCCACAATTATAATTAATATTAGTTGGTGTTGCTTATGAAAAGAACAAAAATACAAAATAATACTAAATGATCAACGCATTAAAAGTGTTTATGTCCCCAAAACAAAACAAACCCGCAAAAAGTAAAATCCCTAAAAAAAACCACTCAACCAGTAGCGTCTCTATAAAACAAAATACTATTCACAGTGTTAGAGTAAGAAGCAAAGAGAGAATAATTACAAAATAAATAAAAAAAGAGAGCTTCTTCTTCACCCATCATCATGTTGTTGTTGTTGTTGTTGTTGATGTTATTACAGTAACAGCAAGGGGATACTAACAGTATTCACCAAACAATGTCTTGGCTCTTCGGCTCTCTCCAACCAGACGATCCACATGATGAAGCCAAGCAACCACAGAGTCCTTCCAGTTCCCGCGTACCAAACGACTTGTCGTTTCTCGGCCAAACCCTCGGTCGCCAACTCCGCGGCGTCGCCAGCTTCCTCGTTCCACCACCACCATCATCATCACCGTCCCACGACGCCGTTCCCTCCTCCAATTCTCAACCGCAGCCGCCGTCGCAATCGCAATCGCAATCGCAACCGCTTTTAGGAATCCGAAACGATCTGGTGGAGATCGGCGGCAGCTTCAAGAGCGGTCTCTCGCTTCTCTCTACAAATAGTAACAAAGCCGTCACTGAGATCTCCAAGTTCGCTTCGAACTTGTTGCAGCTTCAGAACAAAGCTCTGGAAGACGATGCTGATGATGATGATGATGATGACGGTTCCGGGCCGGGGATTACCGACGACGTTATCGGTTTCGTCACCGAAATTTCGGTGCTGCCAAACTATTGGACCGACTTTCCTATACCAGTCGATCATGGTCAAGTTCCTAACTTTCACTTCTAATTTAAGCGTGTGCGTGTGACGATTGCATAATTTTCCTTCGAATGCAATGCAATGCTGGTTTTGCCTGCTTTCTTTGTTTGTGTTGCTTGGTTTTGCTTGCGAAGTTGTGGATTGAAAATTGAAAATCCGCTGGTCAACTTACATTGACTAAAGTTGAGCTCTCTTTTTTTTTTTTTTCTTCCCCCTTTCTTTTTTGTTTGGGGTGGGAGCTAAAGTTTATTACACATGAATCCAAAGTGTCTTGAAACCAGTTATGCGTTCTCTGTGATGGCTTCTGTTTACAATTAGCTGTTAATCTTGTTTGAACTTTGGAGTGGTCGATATGGGAACTGATTTGGGAGACCTATGATTCTATTGTGCTTAAGATACAAAGATTAAAAAGATAATTGAAACAAATTGACATGGCATTTAATCTATTGATGTTGAACTTGTTTTATTGCAGATTTCAGCATGTCTGATGCTCAGAGAGAACATGCCTCCACTGTTGAACGATTGGTTCCAGGCTTTGCAGACCTAAGAAACAGACTTGGCAGTTCCATGAGTGAGAAACGATTTTGGATGATCTATTTCTTGCTGTTGCTTCCGAGACTAAATGAACACGATTTTGAGCTTCTATCAACCCCCAAGGCAAGAACTTTGTCTTTCACATCTTGTCTCATTCTTCTTATCTATATTTGCATGCACACTAAGAGAGCCTAGTTGCAATTTTCTTTGTGGATGCATCTTTACCATATTTAAGATACTTCATTTAAGGTTCTATGGTAGCTATTCTTACTGCAGTTTGCAGTCTTTGTATGTGAGAATTCAATCTGCTTTACCTGTCACCAGCTGCACTTTTGAGCAGTTTTGTTCATTGCATTTATTGTAGCTTCATAGCAAATGTTATAGCATCTTTCTAGCTAAGGACACAGGAGAGAGGGAAAAGATCTACCATGTCCTATCTTGTCATGTGAATCAGGGCTGTATTGATTTCTGTTAGATGGGTTTAGTGAAGGGATTACGAAGGAGGAGAAGGAGAAGGAATTGGGGAAGTGGATTGTCTGATTCTCTGAGAAAGGGGATCGAGTTCTTGTTCACTGTGTGTCTAAACTGAGTTTTCAATCTCAAATTGTTCAAATGTCGTGTGTTTCTTTCTAGTGAATACATGTGAGTATTGATTCTGTGGCACTTTAGATTGTCCAAGAAGTTTGGATTGTTTTTCAATTCCACGTTTCAGCTTCCAACAATACTTGTAAGTTGTAACAAATGCATTATTTTGAAAATAGAACTTCCTTCTTTGCAGATTGTTGAAGCAAGAGACGTGCTTCTGCACAAGCTTCAAAACAAGAGGAACACACAGGTGGATAGCTGTGAGAAGTCAATTCTTGATTCACCTAAAAAGGACATCCAGGTTGGAAAGGCACAAGGGGTGGAAATCTCATCTCAAGAAAATGAAGCTTTGACTGAGATAGTTAATACAGCAGGAAGGTTAAAGATCGATGACGAAGAGAGCACTGAGCAGTGGTCTGAAGAGGCAAGTATTAGTTCTGGCACTTTCGTGGATGGCCAAAGGAAACATGAAACTGAAGAGGATATCTCATTCAGCGATTTAGAGGACGATGAAAATGACCTTTCTAGTTCTACTAGACTATCAGGCCTAAGGCAAGGACGAGACGTCAGGGCATGTTCACCCTATGGATCAAGTGACTGGGTTCAGCTGAATAGAAGTTCTGAGATTGATGGTGGCCAGCGAAAGGCTGGTCAGTCAAAAGAGAGAGATTCAGAAGGTGAGGATTCAAATGACTGGCTTACTGTAGATGGGTTTGATTAGGCAATACTAGCAGCAGCTTGTTTGCCAACTTATTGTAAAGTTTCTGTTTCTTTTTCTTTTTCCGCTTTTTGGGTTTGGTGGGCTGGATTCTGTACTTATGGGTATCAACATCATATACAAGCTGTTTAAATTAATAATACAATGGAGTTCATTTCAAATGGCTACATTTACTGCTTATTAACACAAGCGTATTGTGGTTATAACAGTAACTTCTCGTTTTCAACAATTTGTTACAAGTTGTGTTTTACTCAATACATGTACAAGCAATCCACTTCTTCTTTTCTTCCCCAGATGAGTAACACAAATTTCTTAGGGAAGGAAAATGAAGCAAAATTGTACAAACAGTCAACCAGAAATCCATCATTACATAACAGCTAAGAACTACAGTTCGCGTACGCCCTAGCTAAGAGTTAACATACAGCTGCCCTGACCTAGATAAATTGCAGAAAAAGAACGATCTCTAATTCTGTGGACAAGTGAAACTGCACTTCTGGATTCTGGACAAGTAATTTAGACAGCAACTATAAATGACAATGCCATACGATCTGAAGCAGCAAAAGTTTATATTAGACATCTACAACCACAATTGATGTGGTGAAGATTCGAGGTCAAATGGAATTTCTGAAGCAGGAGAAAAGCTCCTAGGACAGAGCTGATCCTTTGGACATCACGTGAAACACCGGCAAATGCTGGCCCTTGTTGAATTGTCAGCGATTCCGATCTACAATGAAAGACAAGGGGAAAAAAAATAAGAAAAGTGAGCATGACATGGCTCGTTTTAATGAACCAAGTAACCACACAAAGTTTTCCAACTTTTTCTTACGCGCACGACTTTTGGCAACTGTCATACTCTTGACATGAGGAAGTTCTTTCTCAAGCTGAGCAAAAGTAGAAACCACATCAGTGTCCTTCATCATAACATATAGTTCCCCCAGATTGGGAACCCTTTCGAAAGAGAGTTCTATATCATCACCCTTATAATGGAAACTGGTAAGATTGGTGGCACTGAGTTCAATCCCCTTTAACCCTTCACAGAGGCTCACCACCAGCACCTTCAAACGATCAAGAGAATCACCAATGCACAATCTTTCTAATCCAAAACACCATTGCAATGTTAAACACTCAAGTTTTGAACAACAAGAAAACATATGCGGCTCAACATGTCCAGCGAGATTTACATCACACAACACAAGAGTTGATAAGGTGCTAAATCGATCAAAAAAATCTGACTGAAGTGTGCATGAGCGCAAGGAAAGATGCCTTAATTTGGATTCTTCACCATGCAAAAGGAGCTGAGTAGGAAAATGATAATAGTCAATGATTCTCCAATCGCTGCGCTCAGCGGGTTTGTCACAAGTAAAGGCAAGATCAAGATTTTCAACGCCCTTTCTAATGGCAAAACTAATCCAGTCATTGATACGACGAGCGTACATATTTCCAAAGCAACATGAAACCTTGAAAGAGACCACCTTCGTGCCCAAATGACATGCTAAGAATCTTTCTAGTCTAGCTAGAAAATAGAACACTGCGCTGTTGCAAACCATTCCAGGAGTTGAATCAGCTGGTGTGGAGATTATGTCATGCCAATCGAACTCGAGATTTGACATGTACGCATACATGTTCTTCCACCTATGTGATAATACGCTCGTGCGTACAGCATCCCTCATACTCAATAATGAGACAATGGTATGAAGAACATCATCTGGCAATTTACTGATGTGATCCTTGCACTACATGATTGCAGATCATATACCATTTTAACATAATCAACAAGAACAACCGCGCATTATATTAATCAACAGAAGAAGAGAAAGAAAAAAAAAAAAACAGAAAGCAGCTGCCAATTTTAATTAGGAAGATAAATTACCCCTAAAATTGCAGATTTTGTTTAATTCTCTGTTCTATAATAATTTCATTTTACTAAATCCAAACTTACAATATTGAATGAAAAATGGAACTTTCGTAACATGAATTCCAATTTCCAGGCATCTTAATTTGTTTCAAATGAACTATTCTAAATCCAAAGTTACAACATTTACAAAACCCTGTTTCTCTTTTTCTTTTTTTGTTAAAAAATAATAATAATAATAAAATTCTGTTCTTCTTGACTTGACCCGAATTTGCTAAAATTCTCGAATGAATCTTTAAAAGTTTACCTCAGAATTCACTTCCAAATATGCCTGATTCAATTCAATTATAAAGCATATATTTATCAAATTAACAGCTGAAAATAAAGTACCTTTCTCCTCATGATTTGGGGCTTCAAGAGCTTCGATTTTCTTATGGAAGGCCACAGAGTACAGAAGCGCGCAAAGCCCTAGTGCAATTGTGCCAAAGCTTCGTCGGTCGAACACATTGAGTCAAAAACAAAAGCCCTAAATATATGTCTGCCCAGAAAAGGAAAAGAAGCAGCAAACAAACAACGCAGGATGAGTGCTCATATGTCAAGTCGTCTTTTTCCATTAGTAAAACACAGTAAAAATGTTCTTTTTTTAACACTCCACTGATGTAGAAACGTCTTGTAGCTTTATTGGTTAAGAGCATTCGAATTTTCATCCGTAAACAATGAAGGTTATTACAAAATCATATGTGTGTGTTACAATTCATTTATTATATGATATGATATGATATTATATTTATTTATTCATTAGTAAGTATATACTTAAAATGAGAGTGGAAAATAGTTGTGTGTGATCGTGAGGGCAAAAATAAATTCAACATGCAGCAACTTAAAATGAGAGACCGTACACAAACACAATGCGGGGCGCATGCTCCGGCACGAACCCAGTTCTGTCTAGGTAGGGTTGTAGCCCGACCCAAATCATATGATGTTTCCTAACACCTACGTAGCCCACCTCTTCTTACCCAAGTAGGGCTTCTTTATGTTTTGTTTTTTTGTTTCTATTTAGCATTTTTATGTTACTGTTGGGCTAAAAATCTCTTAGATGATTGTTTGTTCGAATTCATTCATTCATTATCCATATACGTTGTCAGAAACATACGCACTCATTAACCTCTGCTAAGCCCACACTCACACCCAGAGACAAACCAGCCCGCCACTGTTGACCCGATAAACAAAAGACAAGGACAACAAAAGAACCAGCTTGGCTTCAACTGATCACTGACTGCACCACCATCAATCCTGTGGTCATTTATGCATGGTTGGCCAAGCCGATTGTCGCCATTGAACAATGCCAATAAAAGAGTTAGATACGTTTTAATCAATTCACTCAGATTTTTATATGCATGGCTTCCGTCCTTCCACCATCAGTAAATTGAGTAATTATGCATGTTAATTAAGTAATTATCATTTCATTTGAAAAATACCCTACAAATAAATAAGAACTTCATATTAAGAGGATCTTACATCGGACGATGGAAAGTTCACTTTAGTAGTGTAGTGCTTAAAAAATCTTGGACCTCTCGATCGAGTCTCGACCCACTGTAGTGGTAGTAACCATCTCTTTTCCCAACTTGGCCATGTGCCAGTATTAGTAGTATCGTACTATAGTCTATAGAGATTAGATTCTTTTTGTTCCTTTCTCTACACCGATTTATCTAATGACCCCAAACATCCTGTGGCTGTAGTGCTTCATCATCTTACTACGTGACAACAAACCACGACCATTAGATTTAGATCTCTATATACTATAGGAGATGTAGAGCTGCATTGCATGCAGATGGAGTGCCCTCAGAGTTTCAGAGCCATCAGTTACCAAAAAAGAGGAATTACTGCATGCGTTAGAGACACAACTCCCGACAAAATCCAATTAGAGAACACTAATATGTTATCATATACAGTGGCAGGCATGGCATCTTGTGCAGATGATGATGACTGAATGTTATTTGGCTAATTAATTAATTAAATATCGTATATATTATTTTATATAATTAACGTGTGCGTGGGTTTAAGGGTTGTGCCCAAATCTCTTGTGTGGTGTGGTGATAAAATATATAAACTTCTCTTTCCCCATTTTCTCATGAGAATCAGTGAAGAAGACAACTTAAAACAAAACACACAGCAGGATCTGGCTAGTGTTAGCGCTCTGAATTCAAAAAGAGAACACATGTCTAATAGCTAATCACTTATTTAATTTATAAACCTTAATTTATTAGCGAAGCAAAAAGAATGTGCATTCAAAATACATAGATGGATCCAGCCACAGAAAGCTAACCTAAACCAAGTAGATCTAAGTAGAGGGGATAATATTTTGTATGATGATGAATGAATATATATATATATATTGAGTTGAGTCAGTGCAGAGTGCATATGATTCAGTAGATGAAGTTCAATAATTTGGTTCTGAAGAGAAGAACAATTGGAGAGAGAGAGAGAGAGAGAGAGAGAGAGAGAGAGACCAATCACATGAAGAAGAGGAAAGCAGAATCACGGATCACACAAGCATACAAAAGCATCCAGCTAGCTAGCAAAGCTTCTCAATTCTTGTCCTCCATTCATTTATTCACCACTGCTTCTCATATCCTCACAGACGACTCACAGTCACGGACGTACACATACAACACATATATATATATATAGAGAGAGAGAGAGAGAGAGAGAGAGACCAAAATTTCATACCCATATCATGCATATATACAAACATACACACACACATATATATTTATTGCCTCTCTTTGATCTTCCCCACCATTCCTCTATTATAATTCTCTCTCCTTTCCTCAACCACCATTATTCCACATGCTTGCCTAGCTGTTCTGTTTTTCCTAACAGCAACCACACACCAAGGAGGTCCTGAGATTTTGAGGGCCCTATGCAAAACTTAAACGGAAATCCTCAATCTAATATGAAAATATTTATAAAAAAATTTGCCATGACTTAACACTATAAAATAATTTTTTTAATAACTAAAATTCATCATCTATTAGCATGCCATAACAATCATAAATAACATTCATAATATTTTTAATGTTTCAATTTGAGAAAATAGAAGAGGAAAAAGACATGAACTTTTTTTGTTTTGTTTTGAGTGGGTGAAAACATACACTCCAAATTTTTTCGTTTGATTGGAGAAAACTTGTATATATTGCTTTCCTCTTCTTTGAGATATGGACTTGAATCCAACTTGCCTACTAAAATCAAGGGGATGAATTTCAACTCAACCAAATACACACTTGTGTTATGTTCCTGCACGCTCAAATATATATATATATATATATATAATACCTATAATATTAATATACATAATATACACGTAAAAAAATTTTGAGGACCATAAAAATTAGGGGCCTGTGCTGTGGCACCACTTGACCGCTTTGCCCCACACTCTCTCTCTCTCTCTCTCTCTCTCTCTCTCTCTCTCTCTCTCTCTCTCTGAGCAGTCTGATCTGGTGATCTGTATATGTAGTACGTGCGTGTCCTTAAGTTTTGAGTGTGACCAATGCAAGAGGCTCACTTTGGACTTAATAGGAGGAAAAGGAACTCCCATCGCCTAGCTAAGCTTAGCTCCCTGTTACCATTTTGGGACGTACCAAAAGCACTTGCCATATTATCCACATAAACAATTATTTGAATATGCAGTCCAACTTCCAATTTACAGCTTATACAATTCAATATGCAAACTGTTAATTTGACTATAAAACTTACCCTTTGTAATATCCAAATCCAAATATGAGAAGTGAGATAAACACGTGAAGACAAGAGAGATAAAGATGACCTATTGTTGGTCTCCTTTCAAGTGGGAGCCATACTTAAGCAATAATTAAGCATGTACTCTTCCTTAGATTAGATTAGATCTCCCTTGTTCATGAATCATGATCAATCCCTTTCCTCCATAAACTTAACTTAACTTTTATCCTTCATGTGTAATTGTGTGAAATGCATTATTGATGATGAAATAGTATGTTGAATGTACGTAAAAGGTAAAACAGAACAAACCTATATATCTATATCTATCTATAAACCCCAAAGATAGTAACCACAAGCTGCTAGGCTAGCTACCAATGGCCCTAGTGAGTGAGTGGCCATGATTGGCATCCAATAAAAACAAAACTATTCCATCGATCCCCCAAGAAGATCACCATCCAAAGCTTAATTGTTAGTTTAATTAGGGGGACTAGCTACTACTCCTTTACTCATGATTATACTAAAAAGTTAAGCATGAAAATCCATGTAAATAAAAGACAAGATTATGAAACAATAATATAAAAAGAAAATAATGGCAAATGGACTCATGCAAATTTAAGGAGTAAGTTATGCCAACTAGCAAAGTTTGGCAGCTGCCTTTTGCTTTGCTAGCCCCATGTTCACGTGATGTGCCTCTTAGGGTTTTTTGTTCTCTTGCCCTCGTCACTATTCTTATTTAACATCCTCTTTCCACTGCAAAAGCTTTACCTCATCTCAGCAGCACTCTCATCAGCAGAGAGAGAGAGAGAGAGAGAGAGAGAGAGAGAGAGAGAGAGAGCTAGACTACTGCGGTGAAGAACATGGCCGAGTCCAGTAAGCTCCATGCTCTCTTCTTCATTTGCTTGCTCTTCATCTCCTCAGCCACTCCCATTCTTGGCTGCGGTACTTGTGGCAAGCCTCCTCCAAAACACAAACCTAAGCCTAAGACCCCCAAAGGCCCCATCCCTCCCATTCATGTGAAGCCCCCAGTTGTTAAAGTCCCTCCGGTCATCCCTCCCATCGTTAAACCACCAGTCACAATCCCACCCATCGTCAAACCACCAGTTACAATCCCTCCCATCGTCAAACCACCAGTTACAATCCCTCCCATTATCCCACCCGTTGTTAAACCACCGGTTACAATCCCTCCCATTATCCCACCCGTTGTTAAGCCACCGGTTACAATCCCACCCATTGTTAAGCCACCAGTTACAATCCCACCCATCGTCAACCCACCAGTTACAATCCCTCCCATTATCCCACCCGTCGTCAAACCACCAGTTATAATCCCTCCCATTATCCCACCCATTGTTAAGCCACCGGTTACAATCCCACCCATTGTTAAGCCACCAGTTACAATCCCACCCATTTTGAAACCGCCAGTGACCCTGCCTCCAATAGTGCCACCTGGCATAATCCCTCCAGTCATAGGAGGAGGGCCACCGGGTAAAAAGACTCCGAGTCCCGGGACACCATGCCCTCCTCCTGCCGGGAGTCCGGGGGCCCAGGATACTTGTCCCATCGACACGCTGAAACTGGGTGCTTGTGTGGATCTTCTTGGTGGGTTGGTGCACATTGGGCAAGGTGACCCAGTGGTAAATGAATGCTGTCCAGTGCTGCAAGGGCTTGTTGAACTTGAGGCTGCCGTGTGTCTCTGCACAACTCTCAAAATCAAGCTTCTTAACCTCAACATCTTTGTCCCGATTGCTCTTCAGCTCCTTGTCACCTGTGGCAAGTCACCTCCTCCTGGTTACACCTGCTCTCTCTAGAAGAAATTAAGTAAGTATTTACACTAATTAATTGGTTATTTAAATTAGTGCTAACTACGTACGTACATTATTCTCTCAACCCTAGCTAGCCCCTCACTTGACAATTATGTAATATATCCAAAAGATTTTGGTATGTGACTAATGGTCAAAAAACCAAGCACAAAAGATATCGTCTTGGAAAGTTGACAGATGAGTATTTTAGCTTACCTCTTCCCAAGAGCACAAAAGCTTAGGGAACCAAAAATCCAACCAATTTTGTTATGTCCGAAGCAACAAAACATCCCATATTACCATATCATAGATTCGTAACATATAATTAAATTTGATGTCCGTATGAAGGAAGAATGAATGATGAATTTTTTGTTCTCTCTCTAGATCAATCCCTTTCGTACACGAAAACCCGGTTGCATAACTAGTTTCTTGAAAAATTTCTGTGATAAACATTGAATGTGATGATTTGATGGGATTGCAGGTTGCTAGGTTGATGGATATGCAAGGAGAGCTAGGGAGGGAATCTTCATGAGAGGATGTCGAGCTTCCCCTTGTTCCTTGTTAATCTTTTCTTCTTTAATTGGTATTGAGCTGATGCTTTGGTTGTGATCTTATTAATGTACACACCATTTGTTTTAAATTTGTTGCACGTGTGTTTTATCTCAGGAAAGCAATCAAACATGCTTTTGAATTAATTTTAAATGTTATATTCTTTTTCTTATTTTATGTTGGTTCATATTAATGGAATGAAAGCTATAGCTAGCAGATTTGCCCTGGTTTAATTCAATGAAAAAGGTTGTTAACAAATGAGTGAGCTCGCGTTAACGTACTTAACCATATTTGTATGTCACATTCTCATACCACCTTTTGTGGAATATGAGGTGAACAATCACGTCAATTAAAACTAATTTAACATTTTCTTTTCTTTTTTGATTTAATAACTGAAAAGTAATAAGTCAATTATAAGTGTATGTGGGTCAACAGAACTTGACTTATTTATTTAAGGATGAAATTGATAAATAAAACACAATAAAGTAAAATTAATTGACAGCCACATATAAAAACCTTGATGAAATGATAATAAAGCAGGTGGTTTTGGATTTCTATGGGCTCTGAGGATGTGAATCAGTGCTGTTATTGTTTTCAACTTTCAACAAAAAGACAACAAAAACAAACAAATAATGAAAGAGGTCTCGAGTCAACTATATATCAAATTTTTACTGTTACCTTTAATGGATTATCAAGCCAAATTGATTGATAAGACTCTATCCAAGGACTAAATTGTAAACAGGCAGGGCCTCCCAAGGAGAATAATATATTTTACTGTAACTTCCGTGAATTAGGTTAAATGTCTCATTCTCGATGAATATTTACATGAATGCAATTCAACGTCTAAGATTACGAGTAAGAGAAGGCTACGGAAATGGCGCTAAGAATGTCGTAGCTGGGATTTAAAGCAGACGGGAGGGGACCACACTCTAATCTATTGCACATGGCCACATAACTGTTGGTCTCTTATCTCGAACAAAAATCAAAGAAATATCTAGTGTGTGTCGTGCTTGTTGATTGGTTCTGATTCTGAATCTGTTGTTGTGTTGTATTGTATTGTATCAATAGTTTCACGCCGACATTCTGTGGAACTCCAAAGCAAACTCCGATAAACATAAATTTTACTCGTGAGAAATTCATCATAGACAGTCAGAGACAGAGGGGCGAAAGATCAATTAATAATCTCTATCCAAGAGTCAAATTATGATTCATATGCTCGCTTAATACATGCTAATGATAAGCTTAAGCTGAAATAATCCAAGGACAACAAAAGAAAAGTATCCAAGGACATACTTGAACATTCATATCCAAAGAAACAAGACAGGACGGTTAATGGCGAAATACTACATGATTGACATTCAAAGGAAAAATGACTTCAATGGGAATACAGAATGAATAAACATTTTCAGTTCCTTTCTCTAGAATGAAGAGCATATCATCTAACTACGTTGAACCAACTGGATTAGCCACTAAAACACAATCATCTAAATCAGAAACTACATCTCAAATATGAAAGGCGGGCTTCCGCACTAACCAAAACACAGCCACACCCCACCAATTAATAAGCCCTAAGATATGAAATTTGAGAAAGAAATAAAAAAAGAACAGAAAATTTATTTCTGAATTGAACTATATATATGGTACAAATCCTCTTAGAAAGGATTGCTGATCTACCCACTAGAGCTTACCATTGAGAGGTGGGCCGGACGTTATGACAAGCCACCAGTACAATCAACCATCTACGAAGCTTTGTTCAATGTCAATCCACTAGGAAGGAATGTAACTCGACTACACTGTTTTAACTTGGCAAGAGCTTCTTGCGACTTACCGAGCTTGAGATCCACGTAAACTGCAGTCAAAGTTGCTTCTGGACTGTTGGGTACTATGGATAATGCCTGTGCAACAAACTGGCGGGCCTGATCAAGTTCACCCTGCATAGCGTACAAGGCAGCAAAATTTACATACAGGCTTGCTAGTGCCTCTTCTGGCTTGAGGAACACGATACCTAATGTGTCTTCAGGGGAAGAACTTTTGGCACTCATTGATCCTCCATTCAACTCTTCATAATCAACAGCCCTGACTCCTTGCAATTGCTCAGAGTCCTCCTCGCTGAATGGCAAGTCAACGTTGTTACCTCCAGACAAATATGTCATCAAATGATCAGCAGCATCCTTTGCCCTGTTCAGCAAGCAGAGAGCCTCTGCAGCATACACATGACCTAAAAAGATGTAAATTCTTGAACATTCTGGAAGTTCCAAGAGAGACCTTGCAATTGACAAGGCCTTCATAGGATTTTCCAATTCCAACTCTACATATGCCAGATTTGCAAGAAGAGCTTGTTTGAGCAACAGATTTTCCTTGTTACGAATATCTGCATAGTACAAAAGGGAGTTCTGCACAAGCTCCTGAGTAGTTCCTGCCTTTTGCTCTTTTGCATCCCCATTTATGCCTGACTGGCCCAAGCCTACAGAGAACGCAGATGCCTCGGAATCGATGCTGTGAAAGTTCTTGTTGTTTGAGTTCTTGGAAGATGCCACTTCACCTAATTCATTATCCTCTAAGAAGAAATTAGAGGGCAAAGAATTCTTACAATAGCTTGACTCAGAACAGTTCAGTAAGTACAGGGCATTAGAGAGACACTGCCGTGCAAGGGACATCGAGAGCTTAGGCTGCTGATCACTTCCCAAAAACAAATCACCTCTTTCAAAAGAACCCGAGTTTCCATTCTTGGAAACCCCGTCTTCCATTACAAGTTGCCTCCACTTCCCATTGCCAATGACATAAACTCTGACTTCTGATGATGCCAGAGTGGTTTCCAATAATCCCTTCTCTAAAGCCATCAGACAGCACTCAGCAAATCGAAGCCACAACAGAGGCCGGTTGTAGAAAACTAAACCAGCCTTTTGAAAACAGCGAGCAGCAAGTAGTGGTTTCCCGCAGGCCAAGTACTGCATACCAGAGTTATATATAATTAGGAGGGAATTGTCCTGTGAAAAAGTTAACAGATTTATAGGCCTGTCCTTCCGAAGAGATGAACAATTAAGCAATGCGTTGGAGAAGAATACTGAAGCTGTGTGATATTTCCCAAGCTGATAATAAATGCATCCTAGATTATTGTTGATCATGCTTGATATCCTTGCATCTGTTCGATTACTAGATGCCATCAACAACTTGATGGCTTTACGATAATTACCACGAGCATATTCAAGCTGGGACTTCAAGAGGAGAGCCATAGAAGAATCTCTCCCGCGTGCAATATTCATAGCATGCTTCACTTCACGTTTAGCTTGCTTTAAGTTCCTAGTGAGAAGCAGAAACCGAACCTTGTAAAGTTGCATCTTAAGCTTCAGATAAACAGAAGAGACGGATATGTCAACTGGGTTCCTTGAAAGATCATTTGAAGATAAAAGAGCAGTTGGCTGTGCGACATCCATGTCAAAAACAGCACCATCATACTCGCCTGTCTCCTCAGACTCCAAGGCATTTGCATCTGAATCCAAATTGGGACCATCCGCTGCTGATGAATTGGTAGGAAGTGATGGAGACTTTGCAACTGGGTTTGCAGGTTGTTGCAACGCAGTGCTTCCACTGTCTCCTTGATTCATACAGCTAACACCAAAAGCTTTTTCCAGATAAACCAAAACATCCTGAACAATAGGAATTGCAATAAGAACCAGCTGGGAATCAAATCAACATAATACATAGCGTCCTTATATATACAAAAGGCATGCTCACCAAATCGACAAGCTAACCCAACAGAAGCTAACCACCACTATAATCACAGCGCACAAAATGAAGTTGGATTAAGCACCCTCATACAACTCATACACAAAAAGACAGAATGATAGAATCATTATTGAACAAATCATAATGAACGAAAAGCTTCAACCATGCTTATAGTACAATCTACATTGATGTTGCCGTTTGAGATAGGTTCGAGCTTTAACCTCATCCAATCAACAATTGCATTGCCAGAGGCCAATATTGATGATTTAACACAAATGGGTTTAATTATATTTGGAGGAGTAACTCTGATGTTCTAGTTTTATTTTTAACAAAAAATTTCTCAGTTTCGGATAAAAATGTCTTAATTTTCTTTTTGACGGGAAACAGGAAGGGAAAAAAAAAAGGCAATGGTACAATTCCAAGGACAAGATGTCCTCCAAAGGGAGAAAACAACAGAAAATATTGAAGACACCTACACCAAAGCAACTACATAATACAGCAAAGAAAACAAGAGAAGTTATCAAGGAAAAAAAAACTACATTCCAATTTTTAAAATTGACAGAAAATGAGCCCTCCCAAACTCTGATTGACACCAATGCCCAAAAACAATATTAATTTTACACAAAGTTCAAAAAACAGATAAAACAAGTTACAGATAAATAACATACAACAGAAAATTATGCTACAAGTTTGATTATGCTTGAACCAGAAAAATATCGTCCTGAATAGTGCAATGAACATCACCCAATGTATCAAAACAGGCAAGTTCAACTCAGCTCAAATATCTAACATCATCACCAATGTTGTATCTTCACCTACAAACCCAATCATCCATTTCACAAGCCTTTCAGTAACCAGTCGACCTATAAGTTCATCGCAGTACAAAATGCTTGACAGACATTATATCCCAAAGCATTATCAGCAGCAAAAAATTTAAAAATTTATATATGAACCAAGTTGGGAATCCAAATTGCAATTATATGTATTCAATTTTTTCAGAAAAACAACTTAAAACAACAGATTACAACAAAAGAAAACTGATTACCCTTTTTTTCTGTAAACCAACTTAAGACAGATACATCATCAATCTTCGAACAACAATGAAAACCTAGCCACTGCTTCTCTTTCTCTATCCTCTGTTCATCTACAATAATTTATAGAACACAAAGCTGTGCACTATTTGACTATTGACTGTACATTTTTCAAAAGCTCAATTCCACAAATATTTTCATGTATTACTAATCTAACATTCAAACTCTAAGAATGATAGAACTCAATGGACATCGTGCACAATTATAAACAGAAGCAAAAAACTAACCGCACTATTAGTATTAGAACTTACAGCAGATTTCGTTGCATCATGGCAAGCCAGCCCAACATCCAGCAACAAAAGGCAAATATTAAGAGCAGTTTTCTGCACATAAATAAAGAAGCACTTAACACAACATTACAACTACAGATACAATATTATTTTAGGTAATAATTAATTTACCTCATCTATAGGTCCTCTATTTTGAAACAGAGGTTCAACGACAGACAATGCCTTTGCATATTCGTGAAGATGGAACCAGATAACTGCCTGCATAAGCCCAGTTTTGGAACAAAAGCATCCAAAGAATTAGAAGGCTCAAAAGATATATTCCTTTTTTTCCCTATGCTAATTCCTGGAAGAACATATTCAACAGTTAACATAGACGGTAAAAATTATGAAAAGTTAACATACAATGTTTAAGGTAGCAACATATGTGTCAAATTCATCCATGTAAACAGCAGAAAAGGGATGTCCCATTGTACTACTTCCTCTGGACCCTCCAATATTGCTACCCGACTCCACCTGTTCTGCAGATGCTCGAGCAAGCTCTTCACTTCGTTTCTAAACCAACACCAATTAAAAGAAATTAAGAATAGAGATAAATCAACATAAATTTATCATATGTAGAGAAAATAACATGCCATGATGCTGATGCTTGCCTCAATAGAAAAATGCAAAGTATCATTATAAAGTCATGTTAATGTACTGATGCCTCAGCATACTAATTCTATTCCTCATAATTACTACAATTCAGTACTACCATAGCAAACCAAAATCCAAGATAACTAGAATTTGGCTACTACAATTCTAATATGCTAGTTTAGTGAGAAGTTCACACTTTCAATTCATGGTTACTACAATTCAGTGCACTTTCAATTCTAATATGCTAGTTTAGTGAGAAGTTTGATCTATTATTTGCCATTTTTTGAAGTAAAAAATAGAAAATATCTACTGTGTACATAAAATCTAGGCAAAGTGGGACCGAAATTCAAAACAATGGCACAAGACTAGTTGTCTAAAACATAATTTCAATATGTTAAGCCTTGATAAGAAAAAACACAGAGTGTTCCAGCAATCAAAATTTCTACCACTGCTCTCCAACCATAAGCACTGAAAACACACTCCACAACTCCTCAAATCTCCCTGTCAGAAACTTTATATATCATGAGGTAAACAAATAAAAAACAGTTTTCAGCATCACCCTAATTCACTTAGGTAGGATCACTAAAATGAAAAATCCAACAACTATAGAACGAGGGAAAAATTCCCATCACCTTTCATTTGAAAACCCAGTTAGTTTGAGTATACAATAACATGTTGCATGACATGTTATGTGCATGCCTGTATATGTGGAATCAGTGGATACTATAAAAATAAATATATATTCATATATCTGCATTTGTGTGAGTGGGAAGAAAATGAGAAATGATACCTTCACATCATTAAGTACATCAAGCAACCTCTTAGGATGTGAGCAACCATCTCGATAGAATTCCGAAAGTCCGATATTATGAAATATCTAATAAGAATATCCATAATATACAAGATTATAAGGGGTACGCCAAAATTTGATAAAATAAATATCCATAAGCCATTTGAATTAAAATGCAGAATCAAGAGGCAACATAATTCAGTATCAATCTATGTCAAAAGAATCTTACAATTGTTGCAAACTATTTGAGATAAGGATTGTTGGTGAAGCAAAGCTAGGGTTATTCAATCAATTACCAAAAAGAAAACCCTATATATTCTTTATAATAAATCAGGCTATTTTATTATAAAATGAAATGAAGTTCTAGATCACGCTATTTTAACCCATTCATTCCCTTATAATAGAATTCATTTCTTTGGTAAACCACATAATTATGTTTGTTTTTTTTATTTTCCCCATTTCTCAACACATTTCTACCATAATCCATTTATCCTTTAACCACCGAGGGTATATTTCTTGATCACCTTCACTCAAATGGGGCGGCAACCAGTTTTCTTCAAAGAAGATGATATCAAGCACAGCCTGTGACGAAACTATTTCCATAAAATATATAATACAGTCAAGATTTTGATTTAACCCGCATTAGCTTTACTACAATCTTATTAAGCTGCGCAATCCTATAAGTCAAAAGTAGTTAAAATTCTGATACAAGATCCAACAGAGACCCAAACACCAGCTATAATCAACTCAAAATAAACAACCAGTTCAACGTAACCCGTTAATTAAAAGTTAAAAATCATTTCAGAAATTGAGTTTTAGAACATAATTACTTTAGCTTTCAACAAAAATAAGACAATTACTTTGGGATCGTTTGGCTTCCTCTTCAGGCACTCGGACAAGGCGGTTAGGCACTGATCGAACTTGCCCGACTGGAATTGCAATAAGGCGTCCTGCGCGTAAGCACGGGTTACGGACATGATGGCTTCGTCCTCAGAAGCTGAAGAAGACCCGTCCCGATTCGCAACCGTTAATGACGAAGATGAAGATGAAGCCATTCGCAAATCGATCGATCAGAGGCCAGGAATAACGAGACCTTATCTAAATGCAATACACGGTTACAAATGAGGAGGATACAAGATCGATAAAGAAATGATGAACCCTAACGAGTGAGGATAGGTTGGAAATTATTTAAAATCGGAGTGGGGTTTGGGGGTTTTCGAAACCCTACGGTTTGATTATTTTGCAGAGTAGGACACTTGTTTGAGTCTCTTTCGCTAAACAGTGCTGATTTGCAGAGAGAGAGGGAGGGAGGGGGAGAGAGAGAGAGAGAGAGAGAGAGAGAGAGAGAGAGAGAGTGGAAATGGATACGACTATAGGCCAAACTGGGAGGGATACGGTACAGATAGAGGAGAAAAGAGAGCAGTTTCGGGGGCTTCTTTTGTTGCTGGGTTTTGAGTCCAAAGTGATTAATTTTTGAGTGAATTGAGTTTTCGACAGGGCGTCTCAATTGGGCTTTCAGATAACCGTGTTTCTCTTTCTTTTTTGTCATTGTTTAATTGATGGGATGGGCCATCGTTTAATTTTTGAGTCAAAACGCTTTATTAACTTTCAGTTTTCTGGGGGTATGATTTAGAATTTAGTGATGATTTTGTTCAGCTTTGTGTTTCATCTTTGATTTGATTTTGTTAATGGGACTTACCTTTTCTATCTGGCCCGATGATTCAAAATGTTCCAAAATCTTGCTTTCTAACATTTATTTACCATATAATGAAACAATCACACGTGAAAACTTCTTATAAAATATTTTTTGCGTGTCATTTTCTCGTTCAACTTTGCAATTGAAAGTCACGTTGTTTTCTAGCCAAGCATATCTATCGAGATGGTAATGTTGCCGGTGGTTGGTTAGTTGGATTTGGTCATAAGGTGTAATCCTCATAAACGTGGCAACATAGTGGTTTTTTTTTTCTAATTAAATGTATGTTTTAGGGATATTGTGACTATTGGATGTTTGTTTGTTGTTTTTTCATTTATATATGTAGCAAACAAACAAAAGAACCGCTCACCAAATCAACATATGGTGATACTAAATGAATGCAAGTTCCAACTCTGAAATTTTTCATCAAACTTCTTTCGAAAAGTTCCATACACATTGTTTTCTCGTTAAACTCTTGCAATAAGTCACGACATTTTTTATTCAAGCATATTTATTGATGGTGGTAATGTTGTTGGTGATTGACTAGTAAGATTGGATCATAAGGTGAAATCCGCATAAGTATGTATGTCAACATAATTTTCTCTTCGGTCATTTTAAAGATACGCTTGCCATTGGATGTTAGTGTAACGCTATTTTATTCTTACCATTAGCAAACAAACAAAACTAACACTCACCAAATCAACAGAGGGTGGCACTGAATCAATGCATATTCCCAAGTGTGATGAAATTTTTCATCAAATAGTTTCCAAAATGTTTTATAAGTGTCGTTTTCTTCGTTAAACTCTTGTAATTAAAAGTCGTGTCATTTTCTTGCCAAGCATATCTATGGAGATGGCAATGTTGCTACCGATTGGCTACTTAGATTTGGTCATAAGGTGCAATCCCCGCAAAACATGGTGACATAGTTTTTCCTTTCTGTTATAGTTCATTTATATTTTAGAAATACTCTGACTATTGGGTGTTAGCGTGTCGTTTTTTGCTTTATTTTTTAGCAAACAAACAAAAGATACCCTCACCAATTCAACATGTGGTGATATTCGATCAGTACAAATTTCCAACTTTGTGGAAACTTTTCATCAAACTAATCCTCGAAATGTTTCATGCATGTTGTTTTCTCATTAAACTCTTACAATTAAAAGTTGTGTCGTTTTCTCACCAAGCATATCTATAAAAGTTGTGTCGTTTTAGGTATAGCCGATAAGCCTGATTGAATGTGAAAGAAAAACCCATTTGCTCAATCTCTCTATCATCACTTGGCATGTAGGTTAAAGGTTTGAATACATGCTTGGCCACTCGACTTGTAAATAATCAATCGAGAAGATAATATATACAACATGCCCGGCCCAATGGTTTAAGGCTTTGATAGGGTTCTATAATATATAGAGAAAAAGTGTGAGCAAGAAACTGTCAAGAGAGAAGCTGGATGATATATTAATCAAAGAGCTCAATTTATCCATTTCTCAAGAGCTCCAAGATGCACTCTGCATTCCGGATATCTTGGTTCTCTTGTGAATCCTCATTGTTATTTCCTTGCGAAAAATCAACACTTGTGAAAGTCTGGACACCCGGGCCATGACCACCACAGTCGTGCTCCCTTCCTTGCTGTGCTCGTCTTACTTCCTTCTGATGCTCGGTTAGTTCCAGCCTTCTCCTCTTCAAACTTGGATGAGGCATTTCCTTGTGCTCACCACCACCTATGGTATCCTCTACAAGTTCTACTCTTTTTGAGACTCTGTTATGGGTTGCATTCACCCTGTATCTTGGCAGAACAGCTGCGACTTGCGGTCTAGATTGACATCTTTGAAGTGGTAGGCTTCTCTTGTGGAGGTTTATTCTGCCATTTCTCCAGAGCTTGTCTAGTACATTAAGTAAGGTCTTAGGGTAATCCAACTTGGTTTGTTCACCATATGTGGAATTCCAAAAAGTGATGGTCTGCTCTGAAATGGACAGATTTGGGTGATCAAGAGTTTTTTCAAGGATGGGTGCTTGGAGTATGAGAAATGCAGAATCAAAGATTATTGGAGGCTGACTCCTCCGTAAACAACCAAGTGTTTCTGCCCATAGGAGTTGAAATTGATCACTGGTGCTCTCATCCTGCATTTCCATGAGTACCAGCCACTGAAGCAGTGGGCTGGATATCAACTGCAAGCACATAGATACACAAAACCATGTTTAAGCATTTTTAAGAAATATAAGCTAATGCGTGAAAGCCAAAAATTAAGGTCAATACTGATTTTTTATTATCATTCACTCAGAAAAACAAGGGAATAGAAAACAACAGATGCAACAGCTGGACAACACTTTCAGAACAGCTTTCCTATTAGGGACACTCTAATAAAGGGTTTCCAGCGCATTCCAGGTTTCAATTTCTTCAATAAAGTAGGAGCCGCTACATGCTCATTATTTATTTATTATGACTAATTCGAACAGATGGATCTCACTTAAGCCAGTAACAACTTTAATCTAAACTTGCTTCCATTTCAAAGAAGATATGTTCTTCTTCCTCAATGCCATGATCTAAAGACTCAAACAGTGAACTGGTATATAGTATTATCATATCTCTTCGCTTCACTATGAAAGGAGACAAAAATCACAAATCACAGGAAATAGGCACGAACCTCAAAGAAGGAAAGGATATCCTCTTTCAAGTGAAGGGAACTGATGAAGTAGGCCAATGTAGAATATACCCTGCAACTTTCACATCAAATGGAGACATTGATATTAATGAAATTATACAAGGAACAGCACAAACATGAAAGATAAGAAATTGGCTGCCTTGACTTACCTCGAGGCCACCCTAAGACCAATCGGTGAGTCTGTTCCTATCTTTGTCTGCAACAACTCCATATATCTGTATAATATTGATGCATTAAACATGAGAAATGACAGCGGAACCATTTGACTTTGGCTAAATTCAAGTTAGCAGCATTTGCACTTACCTAATGGTCACTTTCAGGCAGCATGTGATGGCACTGGAGACCGTGTAGTTAGAGCCATGCTTATCATTTCCATCTGAACTTATTTCTGAAGAACGGAAATTTTCCAAAATACATATCAACACATAACCATATAAGGCAATGAGATGGAGATCCAGACCCTTGCATTTTAACTCAAGCTCATCGCCACACACAAGCATGCTAGTATACTTGTCAAGGCACGTATCCAATATTGAAAACAGATCCTCAAAGAAACTTCCAATAGTGAAACACCCAGGCAACGAGGTACACATAGAACCATAGAGTGAGGTCCACAATGTGATAACTCGTTCAAGCTCAACCTGTATCTGCAATGAAGCAGGAGATTCTTCCGGGGAGCTTCTAATGTTTGCTGACTTAAAGTCTTTCTGGGTGCAGGAGCATACAACTAGCGGATAGGACAAGAGATACAACATGGCAAAACAACATTTGCTGTCAGAGTCCATTTTCAATAATGAAAAACCCTTCACATCATTAATGTAGAACTTCAGACCTTCTGCTATTGCTATCCACATACTTAAGCAGCTAGGCCCACTGTGCTTGTACAATAATCCACTAGTGACAACTAGACTTTCCAGGGGATCAAATGATGATAGCATAAATTTAAAATATTTCTGCATTCTATGCAGAATGAAGTCTGTTTTGAGTACACGCGAAGTTGACTGAACCACCACACAGAAGTAAAGTACACTTAAATAAACCATTGGTGAAACCATGTCCATATAGGCAACAGAGCTTACATCCAATTTTGCAAATCCAATGTCAGCAACCACTTGCAGGTATTCAATATGCTTGATGTCTAATGGCACCTTGTAAAGAGGGGATCCCACTATAGTAGGTTCTATCTCCTCACCTACAGCCTCCACCAACTTGAGGCATATATGATGCAAGTCACTTCTGTCACTACTATTCGAACTTACTTCTTCACATACATTTTTTATGAACTTCAGTATTGCATTCAAACACAACATAATATCATTATAACTAATAGACGACCTTTTGAACTCCAATTGAATTCCTTTCAACACAGACCTAAATAACTTTAAGGAAGCATCAGCAGCTGGAATTCTTTTATCATGGGAGACAGTTTCCCCTGGCATTTGACAGATAAGAACGTAGATCACCTTTAAATGAAAGTCCAACAGACTCAGATCCCATGGCAACCATTTGATGGGATACTGCTTCCACGAGCAATTGCCAGACATAAGGGGAGCATTCGCATAGCTTTTGGCTGATAACTGATGGCTTACCTGGTTAAGCGAGTCATAATCTATATCTTTACATTTCGCCAATATAAAATCATCAAGCAAATCTACACACAGATTCCTTGTCCAGATGTTCTTACCATCAGGATCCATTTGAAAAACTGCTTCAAAGATAGGCTGTACAACCAGTCTGATCATTGAAGAATCATTGACAGAGGTATCAAGTTTATGTAATAAATAACACCATGTGTTCAAGCAAGCCAATTGAACAGATACATCACAATTAGTCGACATGATGCCTATTAGTGGTGTCATAATGAGCTTTATGCTTTTTAAGGATCCGTTTTTTTGGATTTCACCATAGTTTCCTCTGTATGTTCCTATTTGTTGCACACCATTGTCCACTTTTACACCATTGTCCACTTTTACATCATTTGTCTCACAGGGTAATACCATTGGAGGGTGAACAAGAGCATCAATAAGACCTTCCCAGGCAACCTGCGAAATTGGAATACATAACAATGTTAATTTAAGACATGGCATCTGAAAAATTCTATAAGAGCACTCTGATACTAAATTAACTATTAAAACTGACCAGGATTAGGAACTTGGTTCTAGAAGCCCACTCAACAATAGACAACAGCTAACTAGTGGATATCGGTTCATGACTTGGAACCTTGTAAACCCAAACTTAATTTGGTTTAAAGTTTTTATATTCAAATTAGGTTTAGTATTGCGGCATCATCAACCCTTTAAGACTAGAAGTACCTGCGAAGCAATTTGAACTTGTGAGTCATGATCTGAAAATGTATGCTGAGGAATTTTCAGCATTTCATTAATTAACTGCCTGTTCTTCAAGGCATGAGGTCCCAGTAAACGGATAAACCATCCCCAGGCTTGAATAGTATGAACCTTCATGCCATTGTTCAGCATGTTGTGCATCCCAGTAAGCAATTTTGGCTTCAAATCTTTGAAAAGTGCCTGTGTACGAAAGAAAAAGGAAATATGGATTTTATAAATTACAAAAAAATCCAAGTCTAATACAATTTTATATTGTCAGTCTTAAGACTTAAGCTTGTCATCTGCTTTCTTGAAACAACAAGCAAGACAAAGCTCAAGAAAACACCTCATGGTTCTACATGTGAAGGCCAAGCCAACGAAGGCATGCAATACATAATGGTTGAGCGATTTAGTGGAGGTAATACTGTGAAGGCCAAGCTAACCATGTTAAACTTTTTCCTGATATGGCTTAACCTACTTGTACTAGAAGTGAGACTTGAAGAAAACGACAAGCACGTGAGTACCTTGGAAAGATTTAGTGGAGGAGGTAATATTGTAGACTTAATCTTCAACAGACACCTTTCCGACATATCCCTCTCCCTCTTATCTAAACTAAGAAGTCTTCTATATATTGGAGGAGCCCATATATGCGACAATTCTCTCATACTCTCACTTAGCAAAGATGCTAGCTTCATAACAGCCTGTCATAATAGCACAGATACATAGAGGAGTAAGTGGGAAATCAACAATGTCAATTTACAGTTGAAAACAACTAAAATCTTACATCCCCGTGATCTCATAAGAATTATTTAAAGAAACATCATACAATGCGTAGTACTTATGAAATGTGCTCTATACTGAGCATGTAAGTGCTGAGTGTACCTGCATAGCCTCAAAAGTCGTCGACAAAGAACCAATGGGATTGTCAATTGCATGAACTACTGCAAGCAAAAGAGAATGGAAATGGGCGGCTAAAAGTGGTGCAGATAACTGTTGGACAGATATGCACCATACTCCTAAATTGCAAACCGCCTGCAGTTCAGAAATCAAAGGGGTTAATATGCACACATGAAAATTTTATATTTATTTGAAAACAAACAAATTGCACAGATTATGGTAAATTACCGTTAATGTAAATAATTACCTTCATTTTCGTGGTTGTGATGAGTTTTGCCAATGACTCTAAAACCAATTTGACATCATCCACTGCGAGACAGAGAAATTGGCGATAGACAATTAGAACATGTTACCCATGACCATGAGATTAGTTTAAGCTCAGCTGCTTTAAAAGTTTAAAATTTTAATTTCAAACAATTAGATGTTCGAGTGGGCTTCATATACCTGCAATTTCGGCAACAATGGATGGATGATATATCATAAAGCCCAAACATTTCAATGCCTGAGTCACACTGCAATTTGAAACCCAAAAACAAAATCCAAAATATATTGAATTACACTTCAATAAAATTTGAAATTTTAAAAATAAAAAAAAAATAAAAAAAACAGAGGAACAGAGTATCGGAACTCACATTTCTTCGTCATCGTCTTGAATATCGGCAATGATTGGATGGATTAGGCTCTGAGAGGTTCGCGCGAGTGTTTGAATTAAAGCATGGCTGTCAGATGACTGTTGCTGGAGGTGTAAGAGGGTAGAGTAAGCGAATGACTTATTTGCTTTGGTTCCTGAAGCTGAAGAAATAAGGTATTTGATTTCATCGAGCTGGTCTGAGAAATTCGACATTGTTGCGGTGGGAGAGACGAAGAAACAGTGTCAGTAGTATGTGATGTGAAACCCTAAAGTGGGACTGCGGTTGAGATGGGGAGCACATTTCGCGCCAAAACCCGGGAAAGGGCGGGTTCAGTGAAACGGATGGCGGGTTGATTAATTGATTAAACGGCCGTTGGGCTACAGGCCCCAAAAAAAAAAGGAATATTTTGGAAAAAGCAAAAGGAGAGAAAAAAATTTTAAAAGAAGCAAAAATGGACAAAAATGCCCTTACTTATTTTTAGATTTCCTAAGGAATCCAATACATTTTCATGTCTTTGATTTGAAAGTTGAGTGGTTTTTTTGTCTTTTTTAAAAAGTTTTGGCTTTTTCCAAAAGTGAAATTTTTTTTATGTCTAAAACCTAAAAAACCTATTAAAAAAAATAGGAAAGATAAAGTACGCCGCAGCCCATCTTATTCTGTTCAGCATGTGATTGCTGGCGGTGTTTGCACTGGTCCCACATCAAATAAATTGAAATCCAAGGTCTGATCATGTCCTCAAAAGTGGGTATCCAGAATCAAACTTTAAGATATCCACCATGTATCACTTTAATTTAGTCACAATCGTCCAGACGGACTCATCCATGCCTAGACAATTTCCATTTTCAACTAGCAACTCCACCCATTTGTCATTTGTCATTTGCCATTTGCCATGACAAGGGGAAGCTAGGGCAGCTACTATTTACGTGAATAGTCGCTGCCCTTGCAAAAGATTATGGTATTTTCACCAATTGTCATTGCAACAACTATTCATATGAGATATGAGGAGATAAATTTGTATAGAGTTTTGGTGTGAGAAGTGAAAACTACAATTAAGTATTTATTTTTAATAAAATCTGAATTTTTTTGTTTTTTTTAGATTTTTTTAAAAATTTTTGTTGTTGCTGACGTCAACAAACTAGGGCTGAACCGAGGGCAGATCTTGCCTGAGGGCCAGTCAAGGTTCGTGGGCCCCGTATCCTGCCAGGTCAAGACAGGCCCGCTTGAAATAGATTTATAGTGCTGCCTCTCCCCAACCTCGGGCTTGGGCTCATGGGTGGAATGACTCTAACTAATTAGCTTCTAAATCAGCCTTTTGTTTTTATTTATTTATTTTTTTAAATACAAGAGATATTGAAAAAAGAGAGTATCAAATTGAGCTACAAGTCCCTTACTCTAATTAGCTTCTCAAATCTTAGCAAACTTCTCAAACTTGACCAAATAAAATCTCATACCTTATAAATTAAATCATTGAGCTTTGATGTGATGTGCGAGACTAATGTACATCATACAAATTACAGGATGCATCTTTATCACAAATATATTTATGTTGGACCAAATCAGATTTATACACGCTTGCATTTGGCATGAGGGAAGCAAACAAAGTTCGAAGTAGATTTTTTGTCAAAGAAAGACTGAAGTTGAAAGTTTGGAACCAATTTGCTGACATAATTAACGTTCCTTAATCAACAATCATACGGTGTGATTAAAATGATGGATAGTGACCCCCCAAAAGATTTGTTGCTCGTGGGAGTTTTGAATTTGCTACTCAATGTTCTTTAATTGCCCCATGTTTATGAAATGAATATTTATCTTTGTCTAAAAAACCAAAAACTTCCCCGCGCAACACAGGTACATCTCATCATTATGTAATATGTATATATGCACATCTCATTTTCATAGCTAAATTTAAAGGATTATCCCGTACATTAGATCAATTCATACATATACAAATTGTTACTCGTGACATTGTATCAAATTGAGCCACAAGTCCCTTACTGTAATTAGCTTCTCAAATCTTAGCAAGCTTCTCGAACTTGACCAGATAGAATCTCATACCTTATAAATTAAATCATTGAGCTTTGATGTGATGTGCGAGACTAATGTATATCATACAAATTACATGATACATCTTTATCACAAATATATTTATGTTGGACCAAAACAATATTAGTCGCATATATTATGTGTACTGTAATTAAGGGTAGAGGAGTGCCACGTCAATGATTGATCATAATAATTCTCCACTATCACCTTATCAGCAACGATCATACACGTCAAACAAAATAATACACGCTTGAGCTTGACTAAGAAAAGTTCAATTTTATTTTTACTCAAGCAAAGTAATTCGCAGGCGTTCACGTCAAAGACTGAAGACGTGGACACAGGTCAGCACGTGAATAAAATAATTACATCCCGCCCCGCGTGTCAAAATTCGTGAAGCTGGACAGTGGATTGGTAGGACGTGGATCCGACGTGGAAGTCTTACCCATCGTCGAATTCAACGGCCCAAGCTAAGACGATATTCGTGTTGCCGTCGGATAGGATAAGCTGTGACTTGAAAAGGGCGAGACGAGACAAGTAGTAATAGAAATCATAGAGAGAGAGGTCGAGACTCGGAAGCAATGGTGTCAAATTCGTGTTACAGTTCTCTGGCTCGTATTATAAATACTACCCCGACATTTCATTTACCCACGTTCAATTGTTCCAAGCGTTATTCTTGTGCTCTCAAATTCAATCTCCCAAACCGATCAAACAACTTGCTGAATCGCTCTACCACTTCTGGTATTATTCTCTTCTCTCTCTCTCTCTCTCTCTTTGCTTATGCTATCTGTTTGGTTTCCCAGAAAACTAATTTGAGGGCTTTACTGACAAGCTTCATTGTTTCTTTCGTTCATGTTGTGGAATTTGCAGATTTTATTGGAATCGAGCACCTTCGTTGTTGGCTTTTCAGGTATTTTTCAATTACATAATCCAAGCGTGGAGTTTGAATTATTGAATTTATGAATTAGAATTTCAGACGTTTATTTGAAATATTGCAGAGAAGAGAGAACCGTACACCCTACATAAAGCTATACAAAGAGAAATCAGAGGAAGAAGAAAGAGAGATGACGATCAAACCGGCGGTTCGCATCTCCGAGCGGAAGCTCATAGTGAAGGACCGGACGATTCTGACCGGAGTACCGGACAATGTGGTCGCCACCTCCGGTTCGTCTTCCGGTCCGGTCGAGGGGGTCTTCCTCGGCGCGGCTTTCGAGGGGGACAACAGCAGGCACGTGATTCCCTTAGGAACTTTTCACGACGTCCGGTTCTTGGCGTGCTTCCGGTTCAAGTTATGGTGGATGGCCCAGAAAATGGGCGATCAAGGAAGAGAAATCCCGCTCGAGACTCAATTCCTATTGGTGGAGACCAAGGACGGGTCCCACCTAGAATCCGACGACGGAGACGAAGCGAATCAGATCGTCTACACCGTGTTCCTCCCCCTTATCGAAGGCTCTTTCAGAGCTTGCTTGCAAGGCAACGCACAGGACGAGCTCGAGCTCTGTCTGGAGAGCGGCGACGCTGACACCAAAGCGTCGTCGTTTTCGCACTCGCTATTTATCCACGCCGGGACGGACCCGTTCTCTACAATTGCTGAAGCAATCAGGGCCGTTAAAGTTCATTTGCAGACGTTTCGTCAACGGCACGAGAAGAAACTCCCCGGAATGGTTGACTATTTCGGGTGGTGCACCTGGGACGCGTTTTACAAGGAGGTGACTCAGGAAGGCGTTGAGGCTGGGCTTGAGTCCTTAGCCGCCGGTGGCACCCCGCCGAAATTCGTTATCATCGACGACGGCTGGCAATCCGTTGGCTTCGACGAACAGCAGGGGTTGCTTAGGTTGACTGGGATCAAAGAAAATTCGAAGTTTCAAAAGAAGGACGATCGGACGGTGGGGATTAAGAACATTGTGAACATAGCGAAGCAAAAGCACGGGTTGAAGTACGTGTACGTGTGGCACGCAATCACCGGGTATTGGGGCGGGCTGCTACCCGGGATCAAAGAAATGGAGGAATACGGATCCCTGATGAAGTATCCGAATGTGTCCAAAGGAATTGTGGAGAATGAGCCAACATGGGAAACGGATGTAATGGCCGTACAAGGTTTGGGTCTAGTTGACCCCAAAAGCGTATACAAATTCTACAACGACTTGCACAGTTACTTGAGCTCTGCGGGTGTAGATGGGGTTAAGGTGGACGTGCAGTGCATACTCGAAACTCTCGGAGCCGGGGTGGGCGGTCGGGTGGAGCTCACCCGGCAGTACCACCAGGCCCTGGACGCGTCGGTGGCCCGGAATTTTCCAGACAATGGGATCATAGCGTGCATGAGCCACAATACTGATGCGTTCTACTGCTCCAAACAGACGGCCGTCGTGAGGGCGTCGGACGATTTCTACCCAAGTGACCCGGTGTCGCACACGATCCACATTGCGGCGGTTGCGTACAACAGCGTGTTTCTCGGCGAGTTTATGCTGCCCGATTGGGACATGTTCCACTCACTCCACCCGGCGGCTGAGTACCACGCGTCCGCCAGGGCCATCAGTGGTGGGCCCATCTATGTCAGGTAACTAACTACTATTGTATTGACTAATGTTTGTTTGTGTTCTTAATTAAGCAAATGTTGATTTTTTGTGAGAATGTGTTTGCTAATTAAGTAATCGGTGTTGTTGTCTTGGGCAGTGATGCGCCTGGGAAGCACAACTTTGAGCTACTGAGGAAGCTGGTGTTGCCTGATGGGTCGGTGCTCCGAGCCCGATTGCCGGGAAGACCGACCCGGGACTGCTTGTTCTCAGATCCGGCCCGAGACGGGGTGAGCTTGTTGAAGATATGGAACATGAACAAGTACACAGGCGTGCTTGGTGTGTACAACTGCCAAGGAGCGGCGTGGAGCACCACAGAACGGAAGAACGCGTTCCACGAAACCAAGTCAGAAGCCATCACAGGTTTCATTCGCGGCCGTGACGTCCACCTCATCGCAGAGGCCGCCGTCGAAGCCGATTGGAGAGGTGACTGTGCCGTCTACAGTCACCGGACTGGAGATCTGGTGACGCTGCCTTACAATGCGTCCCTGCCCATCTCTCTCAGAGTGCTTGAACACGAGATTTTCACGGTGACCCCCATCAGGGTTTTGGGCTCTGTCATCAGTTTCGCTCCCTTGGGACTGGTGGACATGTATAAC